TTCTCCCTTTCTCCCTCTCTCTTCCTCTCTTTATCCTCTCTCTTTCTTTCTCTCTCCTCTCTTTCTCCCCTCTCTTTCTCCCTCCCTCTCTCTTTCTCCCTCTCTCTCTCCCCCCTCTCTCCTTCCCTCCCTCCCTCTCTCCCCCCCTCCCTCTGCCTTCCTCTCTGTCTCTTTTTCTTTCTCCTCTCTCCCTCCTCTGTCTCATTATCCTTTGGGTGGGGATAGGGAGAGGCTCTAGCCGCTGGAGGAGCAGGGAAGGGAGAAGCATCTGCGAGTTTGAGTGTCTTCCTCGTCACACAAAGCCCTCTTAGAAGCCTCTTGTAGAACATGGAAGCACCACGAGGAGGGGACAGCACCTATATGCTTAAGACAAGGGTGGAGAACCTGCAGCTTTGAGGACACATGTGGCCTTCTAGGTCCTCAAATGTGGCCCTTTGACTGAATCCAAGTTTGGATCCCTACCCCTGGCTTAGGATGATGGTCAGAGAATCTTTGAGTTGGAAGCGATGTGGAGAATCACCGACTAAAATCCCTTCCTGAGGAATCTGATTCCTTCCAGAGCGTCCTTGACAAGCAGTCCCCTCCACCTTCTGCTTCGACGCCTCAAGCTGATGTTATTGAATCTCAAAGCTGACAGGGACTTCTGACGACATGTGGTCCATCCTGCAAGAGGTCAGGACATCTCTAAAATGGGTGGTGGACCAGCTTCCACTGGAAGGCCTCCAGGTGTGGAGAACCCACTGCTCCTGGGGTGGCCCATCCTACTGTTGTGTATAGTTCTTAGGAAAGTTTCCTTACACCCCTCAGTGTGGCCTCTGCGTTGTCTGCCTGCTTGTCTTGAGTCTGTCTCTGAGGACAAGCAAAAGAAATCTATTCCTTCTTCCCTATAATAGCCTTAGAGTCATTATACGACGTCATGTCCCTCCAAGCCATACCTTCCCAAGGCTAGAACAGCTCCTTCTCTGGCATGGTGGTGAAGTCCTCTGCCCTCTGAGTTGCCCTGAGCTGCATGGGTATACCATGTCATTGCCTTTTTTCAAATGGGATACTGAACTGAATCCAGTACTCCACATGTGATCTGATAAGGGCAGAAAGCCACGGGACCATCCTGTCTCTCATTCAAGATCATCCACTTTTGCCAATACAACCTAAGAACACATTCGTATCTCTGGCTGTGGTATCCTACTGTTGACTCATACTCAAATTAAGTCTATTCAATCCCCCAGGCTCTTTTCATGGGACCTGTGGTTCTTCCCCCAAATAAGTAGTGCTAGCATTTATATAATGCTTTGAAGTTTGCAAAGCATTTTACACATAGTATCTCCTTTTACCCTCACAACAAGCCTGAGAGGTAGGTGCTGTTGTTATCCTCATTTTACAGATGAGGAAACTGAGGTAAACAGCAGTTGAGTGACTTGCCCAAGTTGGTGTCTGAGACCAGTTTCAAACTCAGGGTCCTGGCTCCTACGTCCTGGGTCCTGTGCTCTGGGTCCACTGCATCATCTGCACTGATTTCTTAAACAAAAAAATGTAAGCTTTTCCATCTATCGCTATTCTGTTTCTTTTTAAATTTCATTTGGGTCCACCATTCTAACCTGCTGAAATCTTGGATCCTGAATCTATTTTATCTCAAGATGAAAAGAAATGGTCACCATCCTTTCTGGAATAACCCTTAAGACTTTTGAAGCCATCTGGCCACCCTACAGATTTCTCTATGCTAATAACTCTTCCCCTGCACACACACACACAGACACACACAGAGATCTTTGCTTTTCTCACTAGACTTTATTTTCCAAGCCTTTCATCCTCTGCATTACCATCCTTTTAACCTTCTCCAGCTCCTCCCCCCATTTCTGGCATTACCTAGGATACATCCTTTAATCAGGCTCTGACTAGTTCCAAGAATAATGGAAAGAGGCCTTCCCTCCAGCCCTGGGGTAACCTGAGAGAAGGAAGATGACACTAGCGATGCCAAGCTCATGCAGCTGATTTGGGCTGTGAAATGCGAAGATTTCTTTCCAGTTAATTTTTCTGGTCCATTTACATTCTGGGCCTATTTTAGTCCCCCCAATCATGCCTCCCGCTGAGGTGATTATTGGCAGTCCACAAATTGGCCCAAATTCTAGATGGGGCCCATGCCCATGGTGGGATCTAATTTAACCTGCTCGGCTGCTCGCCACCAGGACAGCTGGAAATAGCTTGAGGTACAAGCGCATCCTTGCCCTGATTTAATGGGCTCTGTTAACAGGAATGGAAATGAAACCTGACTTGGCAGAGCGCAGAACCATGCTCTGGAAAAAAGGGTCTGACAGCTCAAAAAGCCAGCTCTCTCTTGCTCGACTTGTAGATAAATCTATTAACAGGAACATCTCCTGGGTGGGAGGGTGGAGTCCTGTCTTTCTTCTGAGTGGCTCCATAGTATGTGGGATTTAACATATCACTATATGGTAGCCACCAATATGGAGGTCCCAGTCACCCTCCACCTGAGAGGGTGGTAAGGGCATTTAGAGTTAGGGTTAAACGTAGAGAACTGAGTTCTTAGCCCCAGCTTGGCCACTGATTCGCCAAGGGTGACCTTGGACAACATGCTTCTCTTGAACCTCGATTTCCCCACCCCACAAGATCTCGGGAAGCCTCAGGCTCATCAAACCAGATCCAAGAAGGACCTCAGCGGCTACCTAGTTCAACCCTCTCATTTTACAGATAAGGAAACTGAGGCTTGAGAGTTGAAGCAGGAATCATCATTTCTAGAATGAGGAAGGTGATGATCCAGTCATCTCCGGGAGATTATATTCAGTTATGGCTGCCGCATTTTAGAAAGAATGTGGACAAACTGTAGAACGTGCAGAGAAGGGTAATTAGGATTGTTAGGGAAGTAGAGACCAGACCATGGGCAGATTGATTGTAGGATACTGGACTGCTTAGCCTGGAGGAGAGAAGAACCAGAGGAAACAATTACTGCCTTCAAGTATTTCAAGGGCTGTCACATGGAAAAGGGATTAGCCGTGGCTAATTCTACCTGGCCCCAGAGGACCACACGAGAGTATACACTTAATACTTGTTCAGTTGAATTGTTGAACAGATGGGTGGAAGTGATGTTGTGGTCTGTGAAATGAGAGGGCTTGACAAGATGGTCTCTTAAGGATCGTGCCAACTCTAGCTTTATGTGCTCATTAAGGTCCCTCCCAGCCTTCAGATTCTATTCTACAGTTTTTCCCAGCTCTTATATTCTGGAGGACCTTCTGGCTCTGGCATTGTATTCTTTTTTTTTTTACATTTTGAGTTCCAAATTTTTCACCCTCCCTACTCTCCAAGACAGCATGCAATCTGATATAGGTTATACAAGTACAATCATATTGAACATATTTCCACATTAGTCATGTTGTGAAAGAAGAATCAGAACAAAAGGGGAAAACCACAAGAAAGAAAAAAACAAACATGCAAAAAAAGAAGATAGTATGCTTCGATCTGCATTCAGACTCCATACTTCTTTCTCTGCATGTGGATAGCATTTTCCATCATGAGCCCTCAGGAATTGTCTTAGAGACAAATCATTGCATTGTACTGAGAAGAGCTAAGTCTATTAAAGTTGGTCATCATACAATGTTACTGTTGCTGTATACAGTGTTCTCCTGGCTCTGCTCACTTCACTCAGCATCAGTTCATATAAGTCTTTCCAGGTTTTTCTGAAGTCTGCCTGCTCATCATTTCTTATAGCACAATAGTATTCCATTACATTCATGTATCACAACTTGTTCAGCCATTCCCCAATTGATGGGCATCCCCTCAGTTTCCAATTCTTTGGTGTTGTGTTCTATGGTCCCTCCAACTTTGCCATGCCATGCTTTATGTTCCCGCCAGTCTCTGGTGTTTTATGCTCTAAGGATCCTTCCAGTTAAGAATTCTGTATTCTGGAGCCCCTTCCAGTTCTGATATTCTGTCTTCCAAAGCTCCTCTAAGTCCTGCCATTCTATGCCCTGTGGCTGTTATTCAGTCATGTCTAACTCCCATGACCCCATTTGGAATTTTCTTGGCAAAGATACTGCAGTGGTTTGCCATTTCCTCATTTGCTCATTTTACAGATGAGGAAACTGAGGCAAATAGGGTGAAGTGACTTGCCCAGAATCACAAGCTAATTAAGTGTCTGAAGCCAGATTTGAACTCAGGAAGATGAGTCCTCTGGATTCCAGATCCAGCACTCTGCTGCACCACCTCACTGCTCTGGATTCTATGCTCTAAGGACCCTCTAAGTTATGATCTAAGGTTCCTCACAGCTCTGACATTCAATGATTCTATAATTTAATTAGGGATGGTTCACTGTAGAAGTCATAACATTCTGTAATTGGTCTTTGAGTATTGAGAAGTTGGTTGTAGGAAATAGGGTGTTGAGCTCGGAGGTGAGAACAGCTTGGGGGGAGGGGAAGGTCGGAGAACATAGTCACTGCCCTTGGTGTCTAAGTAGTACTGGAAAGAACAAGGCCCCTTAGTCCACTTCTCTCCTGCCTCAACACCCTACGCCCAACTTGGCTAGCAGGACCATTCTTGGCCTCTTCTCCATCTATCCAAGACCAGTAAGAGCCCCTTTATCTAGGACGGGAGTGGGAAACCTGCGGCTTTTTGACTGAATCCAAATTTTACAGAATAAATTTGTCTGCGTCTCCAAGGGTTTCCCCAGACTCTGCCTGAGCCTGACCAGTGCCTGGAAGCTCAGTGGGGACCTTGTGTCAGCTTATCATGGCATTTGAGTCAATTTAACCAACATTTATTAAGCACCTACTGTGTGCCAGGCAATGTGGCAGGTATTGGGGGCTACAAAGACAAAAGTGAAACAGTCACTGGCCTCCAGGAGATTACATTCCAGCGGGGATGGAGGCGTAGTGGAGTGGGAGAAGCAGATGACGTGGAGTCAGGTGAGGAGCAGGGCTAGAGTCCCACGCTGACCATTGTTAGCTGTGTGATTTGGGGTAAGTCATTTCCTTTCTCCAAGTAGGCCTCTGTTTGGCTTTGACCAGTTTCTTTCCAAGGTCCTTAGCTTTCTGTAACACTGTAAGCATATTTATACTTGGGCTGCTGTAGCCCTTGGAAAAGCCTAGGAAAAAAATCCCTGCCTACAAGAGATGCATTACACACACACACACACACACACACACACACACACACACACACACGCACACATGCATACATACACACATACATATTCACATATATACACACATTATATACGTATGTATATATACACATATATACATATACATACACATATATATACATATATAACAACTAGCATTTATATAGCACTTTAAGGTTTGCAAAGAATTTTGTAACTATTATCTCATTTTATCCTCACAACAACTCCAGGAGGTAGGTGTTATTATTATATCCCCATTTTTACAGTTTAGGAAACTGGGGCAAACAGAGGTTGAATTACTTACCCGGAGTCACACAGTTAGTAATGATCTGAGGCTAGATTTAAACTCAGATCTTCCTTTGGGATTTCTTTTTTTTTTTTCTTTTGGCTAGGCAATGGGGTTAAATGACTCACCCAAGGTCACACAGCTAGTAAGTGTAAAGTATTTGAGGCCTGATTTGAACTCAGGTCCTCCTGACTCCAGGGCCACTGCTCTATCCTAGCTACCCCTTCAGATCTTTCTTTGGGATGAGCAACTAGGTAGCAAAATGTGCACTCTGCTTGTGCCTGTGGATAGGGCAAAACCATTTTGCGCCTCCATGGAAATGAGGAATCCCCCCTTGTCTTCTCTCTATACAGGTGAAGAACATTCGCAGGGTCCTCAACAGAACCGAGAAGCCCAAAGGCCTCTATCCCAACTTCCTCAGCCCCGTCAGCGGCAGCTGGGTCCAACGTACGTAGTGCAATCCTCCGGGATGTGTGTGCTCAGTGAAGAAGGCTGGTGTGTTTGGGAGTGCTTCTGTTGTTTTGTTGTTGATGTTACTAATCATTGTCAAGAGTACTTAACTAGTTATGACTAATAATAGCTCTAAAGGCAACAGGGCATAGGAGATAGAGAGCTGGCCCTGGAGACAGAAAGATTGTCAGAATACTGGCTGTCTGGCCCTGGGCAAGTCACTTAACATCTTAGGAGCTCAGGTATCTCTCCAAGAGGAGAAATTTTAGTAAAAATGCTGACCCGCTTTGGCAGAGGGAATGTCCTCACTGGGAGGTCCCTTCACCTGCAAAACCACAGGTCCAGTGCAAATAATTATTGCCAGCTATCATTTATAGAGCACTTGAAGATTTGCAAAGCGCCGTATCTACAAATATCAGCTCATTTTATCCTCCCGACAACCCTGAGAGGTTGTGGAGTGAAAAGTTATCTATATCGTCCATCTACAGATGTACAGTTAAGCTATTGTTATTATTTTTATATATGAGAAAACTGAGGTAGACCTAGGTTAAATGATTTGCCCAGGGCCACACACTTTAAGGGTTGCAAAGTGTTTTACATATGTTAACTCATTTGATGTTCACAACAACCTGATTATTTCCATGTTTACAGATGAGGAAACTGAGGCAAATAGCAATTACATGACTTTCCCAGAGTCACACAGCTGGTCTCTGAGACTGGATTTGAATTCAGGTCTTCCTGACCCAGGCTCAGTGCTCTATCCACTGTGCCATTAATCTATTTCTAGTAACAATTATAGCAAGGATAGGGACTGAACCTATCTGGTATAGGGAACTCCCAGGTGAGGAAACTTCCTCTACCCATACAGGTTAGCACCTTCTGTGCTACTTTTTGTTTTAGAGAGTTGCCTAAAGCACTGAGAGGTTAAGATTGTTACTCAAGCTTCCATAGCCAGTTATGTGTCAGAGGCAGAACTGGAACCCAGGTCTTCCTGACTCTAAGGCTAGCTCTCTATCCATTATAACAAGCTGCTTCTAACAATAATAATAATAATAATAGTTACATTTCTATAGTGCTTAATGGTTATGGAATATTTGCGTTTTGTTATCACATTTGAGCATAGCCCTGTGAGGGTACTGTCCTAGGCACAAGGGGCTACTTTAAAACATAGACCACTTCCACCTCCCTTTCTAGCCCATGCTTTCTCTCCTCTGTTCGGCTGCTTTCTATGCTGCAAGCATTCATTAACGCCTCCCAGGCCTAAGCAAATGCTTTGATCTTTTTACATTCCTGACCCACCACCTCTACAGTCACATTTCCCACCTCCATCCATTGTGGCAACAGCCCTCACAAGTGGAGGCTGATTGATTCAAGCATTGCTCATTATCTCCACTTCTTACAGCCCCCTACTGAGGCCACAGTCCCCTGCAGGCCTGAGAAATCTCCTGCCTTGGTTTCCAAAAAGGGGTTCCTTCACCCTTCCTTATCTTCCCCACCACAAGTCTGCGTGTGCTCTGATATAAGTCACGAACCTCCCCGACTCTGGCACCTAGAGCTCTTGCCAAGGTTCCTTACAGGATGGGGCACAGACATCAGACTCTATAACAGGGACGCTTACCGAGTCTATAAAATCCACTTTCGCTTACAGGGGTTATGGCCTGAGGTCCACTTGGGGACCTTTAAACAGTTGGAACAAGAACAGATTGTATTTGGCTGGCCCTGTCACTCCCAAGTCCCTCCGAGGGGGGTCAGCTTGGGCCAGGGAAGGATGCTTTTTTCTGGCTCTGCACATCTGGTACATTACTGCCCCGAAACAGACGTTCAGCGACAACAATGGTGTGATGGGGGACCCAGAGTGCAGAGAGAACCCAGAGGCCCTGGACAAAGGAGGGGGCCTGGATCAGGCCATGGGGGGGAAGGAATAAGCCCAGGATTTGGAATGTGAAGACCTGGGTTCAGATCCAGGTTCTGATAATTTCTTAGCCATGTGACCTTAGGCATATTATATAACCTCTCCAGGCTCCTGTTTCCTCATGAGTAAAATGAGAGGTTCAGTGGGAAGAACTCTGGATTTGGAGTCTGAGGACCTGGGTACCAGTCCAGTCTCTGTTACTTTATTCCCCCGGTGACCTCAGCCAAGTCTCTCTGTTTTGGGCCTGTTTTCTCATCTATAAAATGAGGGCATTGGATTAGAATGCTCTCTAAGATCCCTTGTGGTTCTAGCTCTGTGAGTTATGATCCCATGTGGGTGTTCTTAACTTGGGGTCCGTGGATCCATAGGTAGATGTCAGGGGATCCATAAACTTAGATGGGAAAAAAATGGACATTTTTATTTTCACTAACTCTAACTGAAATTTAGAATTTTCTTTAACTGTCAAAGGAGGCAACAAATATTCTGAGAAAGGGTCCATAGTCTCCATAGTCTCCACCAGCCTGCCCAAGGGGTCCTAGACACAAAAAGGTAAAGAAGCCTTGGATTAGATGAAGGTCCCTTCTAGCCCCAAATCCTGGGCTCCCAGAAGGCAAGGCAGGCTTCATTACTGGCTTCAGCCAAATGTCCCTTCTGATTTCTCTCTGTACTGAGAAGCCTGGACATTCTCCTGGACTCCCAATCCTAGGCGAAAGGGCACAAGAGATCTTTCAATTTAGCTCCAACCTAACCAGGAACCCCTAGCAGAGGGGATAGACAGGTGGTGCAATGGAGAGAGCACAGAACTTGGAGTCAGGAAGACTGAGTTCAAATCCTGCCTCAGACACTCTTGGGGCTGGTCATATAAAAAAAAAATCTCTGTGCCTCAGTTTCCTCATCTGTAAAGATGGAGATAATAGTACCTATCTCACTGTTAGTGTGAGGATCAAATGAGTTAACATGCGAAGTACTTTGCAAACCTTCAAGTGCCAAATAAATGCTAGTTGTCATCATCAACATTATCATCATCATCACCATCTCTGAAAAGTAGCTGTTAAGATTCCATGTGACAGGGAACTTACTGCCTTTTTTCAGTCTGCTCAGCAATACTTGTTTTCCCACCAAGGGAGAGTTAATAAAAAATGGGAGACTTTCCAAAATGGGCAAATAATGAGAACCACAGAGGCTAGATATTTTCAGGACAGCCTTGCAAATAGGCTGAAATACCCATGGAAAGTCAGAATTTCTGCCAGAAAAGGGTCATCTTTAGACATACGTATATATAGGGTGTGCTCGGCACCTTGGGGGCACAAAAAAATATAAGGCTCAGATTTCCTCCCTAGCTCCCTTCTGACTGTCTAGTTGGTAAAATAACTCATTTATACCTAATAATTAAAAACAGAAGACAGGATGTTCTAAGTGCCCAATGGGCAGGACACATGGTAAGTTCTAGGGCTGCTCAGAGGAGGCATCAGTGTGGGTCGGGGTAGTCTGGAAATAATTCCTGGAGGAGATGGGCCTTAGACAGGGGTGGGGAATCTGTGGCCTTGAGGCCACATGTGACCTCTCTAGGTCCTCGGGTGCAGCCTTTTGACTGAGTCCAAGTTCTATAGAACAAATCCTTTTATTAAGGGGATATGTTCTGTGAAGTTTGGACTCAGTCAAAGGGCCACACTTGAGGACCTAGAGGGCCACATGTGGCTTCAAGGCTCTAGGTTTCCCACCCCTGGACTAGACCCTGAAAAAAATGGGCTTTCCATTGGAGGAGAAAATGGAATTGAGGGGGTGGTTTAGTAATTTCTCCTTTATGTATTTTGTTTGCACATAGTTTTTTCATATTGCTTTTGTCAAAACTGGTTGTGAGGCCAGTGGCAGGTCATTAAATCTCTGAGAGCAGCCAGGCAGCCTCTAAAGTACATCTTCTTAACCTGGGCTCCATGAACTTGAAAAAGATTTTTTTTAACTCAGTATAACCGGTTCCCTTGGTAATCCTCTGTGTTCTACTTTATGCATTTGAAAACTCCAGTTTTGAGAAGGGATCCATAGATTTTACTAGGCTACCAAAAGGAGGGGCCCAGGACATCAGTAAGGTTAAGGATCCCTGGCTCTGAGATTATAATCTCATCTGGGGGTGACAGGGTGGGGATTTAGAAGCTGTCTGCTCCAACTCCTCATTTTACAGATTAGGAACTGAAGACCAGGGAAGTGAAGTGACTTGCCCAAGGTAATGCAGGGAATAAGTGTCAAAGGTAGGGTCCTGTAACTCCAAAGTCAAAGGGCTTTTTCCATGATGCCAGGCAGAATCCACAGTGTTAAAGGAGAGTTTCCTCATTATTCCGCCAGCCAATGAAATAAATTGGGATTTGCTTCCTCCTGCCAAAAGAATTATTATTATTATTATTATTATCATTATTAATATTATTGTTATTATTATTATTTTACAGCATGTCCCAAAAATCTTAGTGCAGTCTTGGGCTTTAATGAGTTTAAAAGTGCTCTAAGATTTTTGGCATAGTCTGGAGAGAGAGATGTAGAGATCTGGGAGTAGCTGACATTGACATGGTAATTGAACCTATAACACCTGATGAGAAAGAAAGAGCAAGTGTTGAGAGAGAAGGCAGCTCAGGACAGAGCCCTGAGGACCACCATGGTGAGGGCAGGGGAGATGGGTGATGGTGATCCAGCAGAAGAGCCTGGGAAGGAGCAAAAGGAAGAGAAGCGGGAAGAAGCAGCCTCACAAGAGCAAGGACAGAGAGAGAGAGAGAGAGAGACAAGAGAGAGAGAGACAGGGAGAGAGAGGAAGA